GTTCGCTGACTGTTTCCACAGTTTCGCTTTCACTTAACTGTATTTATATGAAATTAAGAAACTGGTTTTGTCCGTCTGCATTTTGTGATATGACTCAACCAAAAACTGAAATTATATATTAATAATGTATAATATATTACACTTATTTTTTTTTTAGAAATATACAATGGCAGCTAAACATGCATTATTCGGACTAACCTGGGACTATTTCGCATTGGCTATCCCTCTAACTGTTGGTGCCTTGTTTGGCAAATTTTTAGATGACAAAGAAACAGAAAGGATGTCACTTTTTAGAGATAGAAGTGCTTTATATGGAGGAATGGTGAAGAAAGGTGAAAAACCTTCTTGGCCATAAGTTTGTCTTATTTAAGATGGGACTATTAGTTCGAATTAATTGTAATATTGTTTTAAATTTTATAATAAATTAAATTATGTTAATAGTTCTTTTTTTAGTGTATTATAGCTATATAAAATAAATGTATACAGTTTGATAATAATGATAAAAAAATTCATAACATACTTTTTCCAAAATGTAATCTAAAATGTTGTTTATTTCACTTACTAACAAAAAAAATAAACTATGTACCACCTGCAATTATAATAGTTGTATGTTTTATAAGATCCAAATAGAAATTTTTTTTCAACCTTTTATGTTAAAATGCAAGTTAAATTAATAAGTGTAAATCAACATTTATGGAAAAATACGGATCAACTTTTACATAATTGGTACTAATTTCTGTATTTTTAAGTATCTGGTTTTTAGATCTTAAATTAGTTGATGGGCTATCTTCTATTGTAAAATCAAGGAAATATAATTATTTGACAACTACCATAGTTGTTGGACAGTTAAATTTGTTTACTATTTAGAGAAAATCTTTTTTTAACACAATTAGGCTGATCATACTATAAATGACAAAAAAGTAAAAAAAAAATAATATTAATTGCTAGGTAAGTTATTTGATTTTAGAAATGTATTTAAGTAGTGTTATTACAACTGTATTGTCTTTATATTTGTGATGAGGTCCATTTACACATTCTAAATAAATGTACTGTTTAATTAAAAATTGAATATTTAATCTTCCACGCTCAAAGGAAAATCTGTACTTAGATTTTTCTCCTATTAACACATTTTAATATTGTTGTCTGTTGGTTCATATTTTGAAATTTAATGTATAACTATCTAAACATTCATACTTCTTTAAATAAGTTACCTTCATATTTTATAGAATTGGCCACAACTTAGCCAAAACCTAATTCTAACAAACATTAGTAAAACATTTAAATTACTCATTTCTCTTTGTATAGAAATATTATTCATGAATTGTCTATTTCTATTTTAATAAAAAATAATATTTTAAAAAACCGCACCATAGAAAATTCAAAACAATGTTGAAAAAAATTATTTAGTCAAAATATAAATGTAAAAAAAAATAAATAAGTAAATGTAGGTAAAAAACACAAATAATAATAAAGTGGAATAACTCATTCATATTCATATTAAGTAATCTTCAATATATATGTTATATATAATTTTTTTTTTTGAACACAGATTACACAATTATTAAATTAACTCATTTACTCATAAATAGTTTTAAAAAAGTGTTAAAAACTTTTAAGAACTGCTTTAACTAATGCAATAATAGTTTTATGATGTATAAAAATTATATTTCTAATATAATATAATTTCTTTCATATTCGCGATTGAAAGGAAATATAGGTAGCGCACTAGTCGATACTAAAGATAAGGCTAACGGGGAACATGGTCGCCCGGTGGCCGAGGCCCGTGCTGTTTAGTCTACTTACTACTTTCTAGTTTCTACTTAGTTTACTTTGTCTACTTTCTAGTTTCTACTGCAAGCAGTAGTTGACGCTCACGCTAAGTTTATTGTAATAGAAGTTGGAGATTATGGTCGGTCTAGTGATAATGAGATTTTCAAAGAATCCTTATTTGGTAGACAATTAATTCAAAATAAATTAGATTTGCCAGCGCCCAGCACCCAAAAAAAATTGATCAAAATATTAATGAAGATTTCCCTTTTGTATTTGTTGACGATGAGGCTTACCTACTTTTACCTACTTTGATGAGACATTTCCCTCGTAGAAATTTAACAAACGAATAACGTTTATGGTATATACAACTATCGACAATCCCGTGTGAGAAAAATAGTCGCATGTGCATTTGGAATTATGGTAAAAAGGTTTAACGTATTAGAAAATAAAATGCTAAACAGAACTGAAAAAACTGCAAAAATAACTCAGGCGATTTGTGTACTCCATAATTTAATTGTGACTAGAGTAGCTAACTTCCTTTGTACAACTCTTAATAAAAAAGTTTTAAAAATAAAAAAATATACAGTGTATAGAAAATGAAAATATAAACATTCAGTTAAATTTTTATGTATATACAGTTTTTGGTGTTTTTTTTTTTTTTAATTACAACAAAATAAATGTAATTAATTGTATTAATTTCCTACCTGTGGAACTGTGGTTAACACTGTGGAATAGAACAAGCCTTATGGGTATTATTAATTAGTATTTTTGGACTACTATTAAGGTGATAATTATGATCATACATCATACAACTAATAATATGATATTCATATAATATTACAATAAATTACAATAAATTATTTATTAATTCGTATTTCGTGTGTGGTACTGTAGACCAGTACTGTACTATACACATCTTCCCCGTTGTAATAGTTCTGATGACTTCCACAAGGTAGCGCCTGTTCCGCTTTCAATCGCGAATACTAAACTGCATTATATTATTATTAGAATTATTATTAGGTATATAAAAATAATTCCTACCTTGTACCCATATGGTCATATCCAGGCTGGCCAGATGTCCTGTCTGATATGAGAAAGTTCCTTTATTTTGAAAGTTTGTCCCAGTGTTCCGACATAAGCTTTCACTGAATTATCCCATTTTTGTACTTATAAAGTTATAAAGTTTGCTATGTTAAGAAAATTACAGTTGCAGTATTAGACGCCAAATATGCATCAACTTCTACTTGCAGTTAAGTATAGATTATAGATACCTATATTAATATTGTTATGTAAATACTAAAAAGGTCAATTTTTCTTCAGTAAAGGATGATAATACGTTATTCTTTAAAAACGTAGTAGCCACCCTACCAGTGGCGTAGACATGATTTTTGAAATGGGGGTGCAAAAAAAAAAAACGACAGCTAAATGAGAGGGGAAAATCCCCTCAAAACGTTTTACTAAGGTAATAAAAAGCCAATGTGAGTGGATCTGACCCCCCACGTCACCCCTTTCCAACGCAACTGCACCCTACCCATATATATTTTAGCATTAGGCATTTATGCCACATAAATACATAATATATAAACATGGAAAATAGAATATTATAATTTATAATTAACAATAGTTAACATAGTAAATGTATGCTTAATATATTATAATATTGTATAATCCATACATAAAATAATGTAATATTGTAATATAATAAATTTATAATCCAGAGATCGGCTACCAACATATAGTGATGGGCACAACCGAGTGAAAACTATCGAAGTACTCGATAGTTTAAAATATCTAATTACTCGGTTGTTTTATAAAACTATCGAACTATCGAAAAACTATCGGACTATCGAAAAACTATTGGACTATCGAACTATCAAAAAACTATCGAAAACTTATTTTGATTGTTTTTTTTTAAACTCTAAGTAGTAAAATATATCCAACTGGTTTGGATAAACTGTATGTACTTTTATAGTGTTTTAGTTATATATCAAGTATCAACTGTCCATCTAGTACAAATCATACATAGCGGATAAAATTCTAAAATACTCAGTATTTAGTATTTACTATTTTCCAAATAAGAGTTTCCTACCAAAAACATATCCTATAATTTATTATGATTTTCTTCTCATAATACAATTCTCATAGTTTTTAATACTTAGATTAATTAAACATATATTCTAAAAATGTAACTAAAAAAAAATTACGAAATGGAGGGGCTAAACAAAATTTCACCACCACACCTTTCGCCTAAGCTTAGATTGTATTAATTAAAACTAATAAATTAAAAACTTATACAAAAAGAATTTGTATGTTGTATGATGTAAAACATCCACGTTCCAATATTTTAGGTAGTATATCCGCCTGGAAGATGTCAAAACAATTGGGCATCCGATTAAATATTACCTGTTTTGATTAATTTTTAGGCCTACTTACCTAATGAACATTTTAAAAGTGAAAATTATCAAGAAAATTCAGTCGATAATACCGAAAAATCACTCGATTGTTTTTTTTAACTCGATAGTCAAAACTAGTTGGTACTAGACGTGTATTACTATTTACTACCGAATGAAAACTATCGATAGTTAAAACTAGTCTGTTCCACTAACGAATGAAAACTACCGAGCAATTCATTCGATGGTTTTAAAAACAATCGATGAATAATAATATCTATTCAATTGAAAAATCACTCGGTAGTTTTTGAAACTATCGATAGACAATCGATTGTCCAAACTATTCGGTAGTGCCCATCGCAACATAGTGTCGCTTCTAATTTCTATATTGTTCTATGATAATGATAGCACTGCTATCGAACGACGCGCTCCTGGTGGCAGAATAACCGTGCGACTTTTGTCGGGCCATATTTTGTATACGGAGTTTAGTCTCCTTCTCTCTAATCTTCATGAACATAATATAATAGATGATATATTTTTGATAACGACGGTGGTTGTCTGAGTGATAAGCACTTAATGATTATAATTTATAAACATTGTTTACATTACAAATTACGATGCCTATGCATGTTGTTTCTAACTTATATAATATATTCTTATTTATCTTATTAGACTTATTAAATCCTCGTTTAGTTACTTATTTAATAAATTCTTAATTCTCAGTAAATATTATTAGTATTTATAAATTGTTTTTATTTTAAAAATTAATACCCAAAAGAAACTATTTACTATATTTTTTTCTTTTACATTCACCTCTTTGATATACAAGCAAATAAAAATATGGAGTTGAATCCCATGCAAGTTGCCTTAAATACTGTTAGGACATTACGATTGGAGCTAATGCAGCTTATTATTGAAATTGGCGAAGGAGTAAAAGATGATGGTTCACAAACTGAATCAAAAGATAATCGTTATATGTATTCTATGAATGAAATGGTTGGAAAACTTGGACTTCATATGAGGTTTAGTTTGATTTATAGTACATTTTTAATAATTGTTAAAATTTTTAATTGCTTACCTAAATTTAATAGATGTGTGTAAATTTTAATTTTTAGGGATCTTGAACAAGTTGTTGGGTCCTTATCTAGTCCTCCAGGTGCTATGTTATTATATAACACATCATTTTTAACTCAAGAAAGCACATCCGATCGACAAGCATTGTACACTCCTCTAGTGTCTTCTCACAAATGGCTTGATAAAGTATTAAAAATTATAGTTTAATTATATTTTGAATTTAATTAAACATACAGTATTTTGTGTATAACCAATAAAGTTATATGATTCTAGGTACATAAATTCAGTTCAAATGCAGTACAAATTTTAAGTCAGAATTCATTAAAAAAATCATATTACAATTCCAGTTCGAATAAGAAAAAACGACAACAGTCAAGTTTGCATAATATATCACCACAGTAAATGTCTACCTAATTACATTATAATTTCTAATAATTAATATTTAGTTTAATTAATTAGGCATTTTATTTTATTTTTAGAGCTGTTGATGTACTTTTAACTAATATTGATCGGATGTTTCCTGAAATGAGTATTACAATAACAAGGCCCTGTGCATCAAATGTTGTTCTATTGGTAATTTTGTTTCAATATTTATTTTCTACTTCACAAATTAAACAAAATACAAAACAATATAATTCTTCTTCTTCTGGGTTAAACGGCCGCTAGGACCATCCCGTCTCACAACCAATTCTCCAGCCATCTCTATCCATCGCCTACAGCTTCCAATTTTCTCTGCCTCCTAAGTCTTCTACATCCTTCTTAACTATATTTTCCCGTCTCAATTTTGGTCTTCCCAAGGACCTTTTTCCTACTGGATTCTGTTCTAGCACCATCCTTAGTACAGAGTTCTGAAATCAATATAATACCTAACCTTACAAAATAATATGGAAAAAATGCTCTTATATCTTTATACTAAAGTGTGTATTTTAAGGCACTGTATCTCAGTGTTTAATTCAATATAAGCTCTTTTTTATAATAGAAGTTACTCCAAAAAAACATTGCAGCCTCAATAAAAATGTGTTAAATCAATTTGAATTATGTACTGTGTAATATTTTGTGTAACTGTGTAAGTAACAATCCTTAGAAGGAGAAGGGGATGAATAACAAAGATTTCCTGTTTCAATGACAATTTTAACTTACAAAATAATAATGCGTTATGTTGATATGTTTTTTTTTAAAAAAACTTAATGCCTTAGACATTATAATATAACAATAATGATTTACAATGATTGTGGAAACTTCAAAGTTAAAAGTAATACCAATGTTTAGATATTGATCGAAATTAATGTAATAATGTATAAGTAACTTAACTTAAGTAAGTATAATGATAAAAATCTGATTTTTCTCTATCATATTTATTGTAAAAATTAAAAAAAAATTTTTAAATTTTTATTGATACCACTGATTTTTGGTATAACTTCAAATGGATGAGCCATAATTTTTTTAAGCACTTTCAAATTTAGTGTCTTTAAAAACATACATTTTGAAAATTAAATTAAAAAACGAGCATGGATACTAAATTGCATTTATTCCATATTAAGTGTTAATTACTAAATAGAATAATAAGATAATATTTATAAACTAAGAAGATTGATCGTTAATTATATGCAATATTGTCAAATCAAAAGTATTTTTCTCAAAATGTAAAATAAATCATTATTAAAAATTAATTTGAATTTTATTTGTATTTAGGTTGGCTTAAGTAGAGTCTTACAAGCTATTATATCATTTAAAGGAGTTATGATTGAATGGGTTATTGTTAAAGGATTTAATGAACCTATTAACCCTAACAGTTTGCAACAAGAGCTTTGGCAAGAATCAAGATATTATGTTTTTCGTAAGATAACAGATCATGCTAATGCAGCTATGTTACATTTCTCTTCACCAACATTGCCAGATCTTTCAGTTCGATCATTCATGGTAGTTTTAAATGAAAGCTTTTTTGGGCTGTCATATAGTATGCAGTCTACTAGCTGTTGTCGTCTGGTATAGGAAGTGGTCTACCTGCACCCGCTGGTTTTTACATGGGCTTATGATCTTTGATAAATACAGTCTAATCTCTTTTCTTTGGTTAACATTTTATCTTTAAGACTCTTTGTGACACTACAATTTATTCTACATATTATTTGGGCTCTCATACAGTCACATACTCAATATGTTGGCAAAATATTTTTATTTAATCTTAATAAGTGATGAATCAACCACCAATTTTTATTTAACACGTTCACTGTGTATCATATTTTTGTATACTTGTTGTGACACTGATAAAATTCTAGTTTTAAAAAAAAACTTTCCTAAAAATTGAAAAATTAAAATATCAGTGTACGGTTTGCACTTGATTATGAAACAATGCTTATAGAAGACCCTTACAAAAAACCAAAAGTTTAATCGTAATGCTGACCAAATTATAGTCTATTAAATAACAGGGTACATGACGCCAATTGGGGTCATTCAGCATATGCGAACTATGTACAATTACGCCAATTGGCGTTTTACTCAGCGAACGTGTTAATAAAAATGTTTTGTCAAACTATGTAATAAGTGTGGAGGTGAGATAAATTTGAATCTAGGAAAAAATACCCGAGGAAGAAATACCCATGGAGAAAATGCCCGGTAAAAAATACCCGAGGAAATAATACCTAGAAGACAAAATACCCGAAGAAATAATACCCGATAGAAGAAATACCCGAGGAAATAATACCCGATAGAAAAAATTCCCGAGGAAATAATACCCAAAAGAAAAAATACCCGAGGAAATAATATCCGTAAGAAAAAATACCCTTGGCAATAATACCCGAAATAAAAAACATATTAATAGGTAAATTGAAAAAATGGAAACATTCATATTCGATATTATATTGAGCACATTTAAAAAAAATTAATACAGTTAGGTATATAAAATAAAATTTGTAATAATAATACAATAATAATTCGGCAAGTTTTATAAAATAATATATGACTGGTCATAATTATTAATATCATAATAAAAAAAAAATTAATACAGTTAGGTATAAAAAATAATATATGTCATGATAATACAATAATATTTCGGCAACTTTTATAAAATAATATATGACTAGTCATAATTATTATTATCATTATAAAAAAAAATTAATACAGTTAGGCATATAAAATAATATTTGTCATAATAATAAAATTAAAATAATTCGGCAACTTTTATAAAATAATAAATGTGAGTTAATACTTATTAATATCATAATATATATTTTGAAAAACGTACTAATATTGTGCAACTCATATGAAATAATTAAAAATTTAGTATAATATTATAGTAGTACATATATAGCAGTCGATTTGTATATTTTATATTGTATATTATTTATATTGGGTATTTTTTCCACAGGGTATTTTTTCCACTGGGTATTATTTTCATGGGTATTATTTCCGCGGTTATTTTTTCCACTGGGTATTGTTTCCACGGGTATTTTTTCTACGGGGTATTATTTCCACGGGTATTTTTACCAGGGGGTATTTTTTACAGGGTATTTTTTCCATGGTTATTTTTACCTCGGGTATTTTTACCTATTACCGATAAATTTGTACATATGTTAGAAAAGGGGCAAAGAATAAGGCAAAAGGTACCTATGTCAACAACTTATATAACTTTTATTTTTTTTTTTTGTAGTATGATATTAGATTTTAAAGAGTTTATTATTTCTTTTAAAATTATTATATTTTATTTTTGTTGGTGAACCGCATAGTACATCTGTAATTTCACTGGTAGACCGCATACTATACACCTCATACTATTTGTATTTTAATTAAAAATATCAAAATAATTATTGATATCTTTGTTTTGTTTACAGACTTGGCTCAATAGTTATTTGATATTATTCAATTCAGTATGTAAAGCATGTGGAAATCGATTACTTAATGCATACCCACCTACTTGGAGAGATCTGAGATCATTAGATACATACCATTATGAATGTAAACCATAATATTATATTTAAAATAATCATTTAAAATATTTTTAAGTTTATTTCATAACTCAAGTTTAGTATTAATTGTACCTTAATTAAGTTGTAATTTTAAAAGTAAAATAAATATAGTATATGATATTTAATATAAATACATTACTAAACTATTTTATGAACAATTTAATGATGATATATTTATTTTTTTGCAATTTACTATTAAATCAAATCTCCTAATAATCTTTAAATGTTTCTAATCATTGATTTTTCTCATAGTTCATCATACTATGTTTACATTTTATTATGTCTAATGTCCATAGTTCTTAATAATTTATGTTATGTCATATTTTATTAAAATATCCTCTTATTGTTTTCATATTACATGTAATTGTTACGGTTGTTTGGAAAGAATGTCGTTCATCTACGCACATTTACGCGTTCACATTTATACTTAGTGAACGTCACTCGTTTTTTTCAAATAGAACATGAACAAGGTGTTTATATTTAATAAATATTGATTAAAAAAATACTATTATAATATTAGGTATATAATACAATTTTTCTATTATAATATTCCTATTATATTTGTTTGATTACTGAAAACAAAATGCATGAAATTCCTGGGGTCGCGGCCATAGTCAATGTATGGTGGTCTATGTATAATATAATATTTTTTATAGGTAACCTATAAAAAAAATTAAATGATGATGGTGATTTTCTTTTTAAAAACAACATTTTTATGTGAAGGCCCACTACCCAGTGTAAAATATTATTATGATTAGCTACCCTCCACAGGGGCATTGCCCCGGCTGCCCCTGCTTTTGTTGAGGCACTGGGCACAGCTTGACATAAAACAGTAAAGTTTTATGATTATCTTGATTTTGTATAAGTATTTAAACGATTCATACAATTTTAATAAAAAAATTAAATCAACTACCAAGTTAATGCATTCATTTTTTCAAAGAACTTGAATGTGTACTCTTTTTAAAAAATATGAACCTGAACAAGTTCCTTTTTTTAAGCACTGAACGTGAATGAATTCATTATTTTAGTGAATGTTTCGAACACTGAACTGTTACTGGTAACTGGTAAGTACTAGTAAAAGTTCTTCCTTTCATAGCTAATGCTAGCCAACTGCACTTTTGAGGTATTCCTATCGCCCAATTGCCAATTCTGCTTCTAAAATAAATCTGTTCTGCACTAAAAAGTTTGAAAATTGCAAATCACTATACAAATATTACTATCGTTTTTTACTCAATGATCATTTACAGTATATTTTTTTTTTAACCAAGATTATGAATATAGGCACCAATAGACTATAGTTTATTAGTAAATTAGTTAGCATTCGCTATACTAATACGTCGCGTATTACTATATTGATGCGTGGTTTAAGTATGGACTCTCGTGAGTCGTGGGCCGGAGCTAGGTATATAGTACATACACTACAAAGTATATAGCCGTCCTTTTTTTTTTGGAATTTAGTGTTAGGTAGGTGGTACACCTACTTTTACAATATTTTCAAGTTCCAAATATTATTGTTCTATGATATTGTATATTATGATTTATGATCAGTGGCGTATTTACGGGGGGGAAGCATTAAGGCGACAACCCCCCTCCCATAATAGACCGTATACAATATGCAAAAGTTTTCTGAGTCCTAACTGAAGACCTCTCACTTTAAAGTCGGGGCTACTGAATAATGTCATATCCCTCCCTCCCCCACAAGACAACAACCTAAATACGCCACTGTGTATGATATAGAATATAAAAGTTCTTCGATTTTATATATTGTATATTGTATAAAGTATTGTTGTACAATGTTTCCATATTTCCATATTTCTGAATTTCTGATGGTTTTTTAATTTTAGGTTTTCCTTATCTTTGGACACTAATTCTATAATCTATATTAATTCCACGAATTTCGTGATTAATTCTAATGTTTTATCCACGGACTAAGATAATATTCTATCTTAGTCCGTGGTTTTATCTCTGTTAACAACATATTTGAATGACATTGTTATCATTTGTATTGTTCTTATGTTTGTACCTACTTCATATTTTTGCATATAACATCATACGGATCATGAATCACAGTTCTTGATAGTAAATAATAATATGAATATAATAACATAGCATACCTATACATATTTTTAGTTATTACGTAGGAAGTGTAAGTTTTCATCTTTTAATACTTTAATCACAATTAATCAATTTTGTTTTCATATGTTCGACATTTATTACTTACTTGCTTATAAAGTGTTTCTTAAAGTAAATTAAAACTAACAACTCGATTTCAGTGTGGCCCACTAACTATAATATTATATACGTAAGTTCTTCTACATATTGTTCATTGAAAGTATATCGTATATAAAAACCCAATATTGTGATACCTTGTAAAGAATTGAATATGAAGTTATTATTTATTTAATCATTTTTATATTACGTAGATATAGCTTATTTAATTCCACGTAGTATAAAACAGTAATTTTCATCTCTGTTTAATAAATTATTTTTATTTTATTTTTATTATCAATACCATTCCAGCATATTGTTACCAGACCACTGTGATTAATCTGTGCTTATATTTTAGTTACTAATTTTATTTTAATATGCTTTAGGAAAATACTAATTCAAAATGATACGAGTGGAAGAAAGTCGTATAAAATCATATTTAACTATGGTAAGTCTTAAAATAAATAAAATGATATAATATTATGGTACATTATAAATATTTATAAACCTTAATCTGTTATAATTTATAGTTATTACACTTTAAAAATGATAAATATTATATATTATGCTTACTGTATAACTAAGTATGCAACAAATAGTACATTTTGTAACATTTTATTTTGTATAATTAACAATATCAACTATTATTTGTTAATTATGTTAAAATTTTAGGTTACTAAACATAAATTTAGAACACCTTATAACCCTGTTGTGTCCGTCCGTCCGTTAGTTACCAGTACATGATTACGATTGTTTATATTAATATTTTACCACGGTGTGATTCAAAGAAAATTTATACTAGCCAGTATTATAACATATTAATATTTGAGTATTTAATATAGATTCACACTAGCCAATATTAAAAACATTGGAACCAAAATATATTTAATTTGTACATGGAATTATAGTTTATTGCGTTGTATTAAAATTTGTTTGAAAACCGGGAGCTTAGCATGCTCACAGAATGAGCTTTCCTAACTTGTTTATCATTTACTATTAAGTACTATTTTCCTAAAAGCAAAAATGTTGAAATTAAGAAGTTATAAAAAGGTATAATACACCTAAGTGTTATACTATTAATTTAATAGTATACAGGATGTCCCGTGAGGATTTACTCATTGCGATATCTCCTGAAATAATAGAGATATCGTAATTCTGTTTTCTTATTAAGACTCACAGAGGTAAGCACTACAAATAACTAATTTTTTATTTTATTTTTTGTTTTGGTAAAAGAGTTAAAAAAATTATTTTTTTAATTAATTATTTAAAAAAATATTGAAGATTGCCATTTTGTAGAGTTCATTTTTCTGAAAATATTGACGTTTCAACATTTTAATTTTATTAATTTCCTGATTTTTAATAATTTTTTTAATTAATAAGTAAAACGGCAAAAAACCGGTATTTGTCCGGGCGGCGAGTCCCCCTCTACGGCTAATAGGTAAATCCTCACGGGACACCCTGTATAATAATAATGTGTTCATTTATGATTAGGTACATATTTAAAAATAAATAAATGTATGTAACTTCTAAATCATTGACATTTGAAGGTCATTTTGTTAAATTTAAAAACTACTAATATATTATAATTTAAATGATTAATATTTTAATTAATTTTATTAAATCATTTAAATTATCATAAAACTATTATTTCACAAAATGTAAGGGATTTAGAGTTACACCTCTGACAAAGTGCTATAGCAGACATTACCTATACTCTGTTCAGCGAGAGATCGCAATACACACCAACAAAAGCTGGTTCTCCCATGCAACACGCTGTCATTGGGGAACTGCTTTCGATAGCATAGTGACACTGAGTAATGCTCAGAATCTGCGCTTTCTCTCGCTGAACAGAGTATAGTAATAATGTGGATACACAACAATGCATGTATTTATTAATATAAAGTTACATATTAATATATTATAAAATATTTAACCGTGTTTTATAAATAAAAAATGTATTACTTTAGGTTATTGTATGGTAATACTTAAATATATTTTAGAATTAAATTCATTGTACAATTTTACATTTTTTTACAGATTTAATACACTATCTTTATTTTATTTCAGTACAAATTTCCTGAAAATACAAAAAAAGAAATTATAAAAACATTAAATTATTATCATGGACTCATTTGTAATTTTGAGACTTTTTGTAAGTTATTGTTATCGTTTTTTGAGTTGTTGTTGGTACTTAAATTCTCAATAGATGTGGGTCAAACTGTTCAAAGTTTGTTAAATTGAACCGAACACCTGAAGTTCAAAAGTCAAACATAGTTTTAAAAAAACCAAACCAAACTTAATCAAAAAGTTTGAACTTCAATAAATAACTTAAACTCAAAATAAATATATACTCAAAAAAAAAATTGAAACACGTCATAGTTTTGAACAACAATTGTTTTATATTTTATATTTTATATTTTGGTTTGAAATACTCGTAAAAACTAAAAGGTTTGATTTATAATTGACTTCAAACCCTCGGTTTGAATTTAGTTTGGTATTAAACAAAATGTTTGGTTTGATGTTAAATATATTGTTCGGTTCGACATACATCTAAATAGTTGTTTAGTTAGTCATACCTAATAGAAGTTTATGTTTGAGACCATAGTTTTGAGTTCAAACCATCTCTAATTGTTACATATGAGCATTGATTATTAATAGTATTCAATGATATGAGTTACAAAAATTAATTTTAATAAACTTTTTTTTTCTCAGTGTTTTCAAATAGAATTGAAAAGAAATTAGTTAATTTGAGTGGTACTGTTCCTGTTACATTTAAAGGTAACGATCAACTAATTTTAATTTGTAATCTTGTAATTGTAATATTGTTATAAAAATAATTAATCATCTAATTTTACTTTTAAAGGTACCACTTATCACATTCCAATTTGTATTTGGCTAATGGATACACATCCAAATAATGCACCAATTTGTTATGTGAAACCTACACCGGAAATGCGAATTAAAATGTCAATGTATGTTGATCACAACGGTAAAATTTACTTACCATATTTACACAACTGGACTCCGGTAATATATTAAACTATAATTATACTTAATTTATGCCAATTTTAAATTACACATGGTATACCATTTTAGACTACGTCCAATCTTCTTGATTTAATTGGAATAATGACGGCAACTTTCTCAGAAACACCACCTGTATATTCAATTAATAGAACTGAACAACCAGTAAACCCTGGTTATCCTACTCAAATGTGTAAGTTTAATTTATAATATGTTGTATACTTATTAGTTTTGTCTGAAAATTTGTAAATATTGTAATTATTTTTCAATCAAAGTTACTTATTAGTTTCATTAATATTCTGTGTATAGATGTCTAAACCGATCCATGCTAATATTTAACTTAAAATTATATTAAGTGATGTTTTCATAATTATTTTATGGATACACAATTCAATTATAAAGGTAGTAGTTATCAATTTGCAAATGAAGTATTATGGCTATTAAATTATTTTTATAAAATTGAGCTTGTAATGATTTAGTATTTTGTTTAATCATGTTATTTATTATTTTTATAACTTGAATACTTTTTAAAACTTTGGAAAAATAATTATATTTTGTCAGGCTAAAAAACCAAGTTTTAAATATGGCGCTCCTAAAAATTATGTAATTGACTGTATCCTATTTATATTAAAAATGAATCTCGGCACCTGACTTTTATGCAGTGGTATGGCTTTACTATACCGCTGATGTACGGATGTTAACTCTGTATGGGTGACCAAAGGCAATCAAGTGTTGCCTGACTAACGCCCTACTAAAATTGGTCACCGCCGAGGTTCCTTCTTGATGTAAATGGAGTAGTTTTATTTATTATTATTCATTTTTTACACATGTACATTTAGCATATGGCGGAACTGGTTCAAACGTGATGTTGCCATATTCTTCAATACCAACACAATCTACTGCTACTTCTAATCCTTCCACAGCGTACCATGGAAGTTCTAATACTCCTTATCCTTTGTATAATAATCAGTTCCCGACACCTCCTTATCCAACAGGTTCAGCAAATACATCAAATTTTCCTCCCTATACTCCACCATACACAACACAAAATTCTTCTCAAAACTGTCCATACCCTCAGCAACCTGCACAAATCAGACCAGAATATCCTCCTTACCCATCAACTACTAGTAATTTGCCTAATCCTTCTACAGGGGTAAGATTATTTTATTTTTTTAAATTTAAATTAACACATTTATTGGGAATCTTAGCAGATAAAAAAAAAAAATCTTATCTTAAAATAATTTTAATTTGCATTGTTTTATTATACACAAAATAGTAATTAATTATTACCTATAACTTCTCTTTAGAATTATTTATATGACAATCATAAAATCATTAAAATACTTGACTAGATGAATATCTTTATGCGAACACAAAAATCAGACATGATAAAACATGAAATAATATTTTTATTAAATCTTTGTATTTGATACAGTGAAACCTTTATATTATAATGAACCTTCACGGGATTTTAAAACTGTCTACTATTGAGAAAAGTTTTAAATGTTCATGTACACAATATTGTATTATTACATGTAATGTATTATTTACATTAAAAGTTAAATGTATACAAGAATTTATTATCATTTAATTTTTAATTATTTTTAAAAATATCTATTATTTTTTGTTAATGTTCATTAATCATAATACATAAATGTATGGCACTGTTGTTCACTAGACAACTCACAAGTGATATTTTAAAAATTCATAATTTTGATTATTTTTTTTTTATCAAAAGTATGACAACAGTTAAGATAAGTTAAGTTAATTTGTATTGTACAATGTTTATGTACCATTAATTATATATTGTATAAAAACATAAAAGATAAATTCATTTTTATAATCTAGTTTTGTTCCTTGTGAGGTAGATTTGAAAATAAGGACCTCTTTGTATTGTCCACATCCACTATTAAGAGTGTGTCCACTTCTTAGAGGTCTCTACTTATAAAGGTTTCACTGCTTATGTATATATTTATGTCTTCTAACATACTATATTGTGCAGCACAGTTAATGTTAATTTTAACTTATAAAGATTTTTTCTTATATTTTCATTACTTTACTACTTCAAAATAAATAAATATTATTTATACATTTCTTACAACCCATAGTTGAATGATGGTGGTACAATAACAGAAGAACATATCAAAGCCTCTTTGTTATCTGCTATTGAAGATAAAGTACGAAGACGCTTCAACGAACAAATGGCCCAGAATAAAGCCGAATTAGATATATTGCAACATTCTCAACGAGAATTATCACAAGGAAAAAATAAATTAGACTCTATTCTGACAAGTCTCAATAAAGAAAAGGTATACAAAGTTCATCTTATTAAAATTCTTCTTTGTTATGTATATTTTCTTGATGTGCTATTATATTCAAATATATTTTTTTAGTCTGAATTAGAACAAAACATTCAAGTATTGCGTGATAAAGAAATAGAACTTGAAATGGCTATATCCAAGTTATCCAAAGAAGATAATATTGATATTGATGATGCTGTAACAACAACTGCGCCTCTTTATAAACAGTAAATAAATATATATTTATTTTCTGATATGAGATACTAATTATTTTATTATTATAGAATATTGAATTCATTTGCTGAAGAAGCCGCTACCGAAGATGCAATTTATTATATGGGAGAAGCACTAAGAAGAGGAGTGATTGATCTAGAAGTATTTCTGAAACAAGTACGTTCACTGTCCCGAAAACAATTTATGTTACGGGCTTTGATGCAACGATGCAGGCATAAGGCTGGTCTAGTGGCTTAATTCAATAGACAAAGGAAATATACTAACAAGGTACAAGATAACATTTACAAAATGAGATGTTTAATTTCTACAGATAAGTAAAATGGGGTTAAATAACATTTTGTGGTATATAATATATTCTATTATAATACATATTACTTCTGTTGACTATTACAACAGGAATCAATATAATATGCTTATTTTGTAATTTTGTTAGTCTCATATTACATTTTATCAACCAAATAATTGTATTTTAATATTTTATTACTATAATAACTGTGCACATTAAAATATGATATAGAAAATATGTGAGTTGATATTTAAACGATTTTGTCTCTAAAATAAATATTTTTTTTCATTTTAAATCCTTAATTATTTTTTCTTGACACTTTAATATTATCAATTTTATATTTTATCATAATATTTTGTTGTAAGTTAAGAAAAAAAAACACTTCATAATATATGTATGATATAAAATTAAAAATACAAATATAATTTTATTGAAGTTATAATTATTGAAATCTGTATTAAGTTAAAAATTATTATTATTATTATTTACCGTATTGTATAGTTTATAATATCCACAAAATATATTTCATTTTTAAATTGATTTATAAAATAAATAAATTTATAATTGATAAAATATCTACTTATAACTAATAATTTTTGTTTAACTATGAATTTAAATATATTAATGTTGCGTCTAAAATAATAGTTAAATTATAATAAAGTAATGAACTATTATAGCCCAAGATATGTGATACCTTATTTTATTCCAAAAAAAAAAAAATGGTCTTACGCTTAATGCTAATGTAAATAAGACCTAAAGAAATTATTAGTTATATTAAGTCTTTACACTTGTTTTAGAGATATGTTAACCAAGTGATTTTATATTAGTATTGTGTATTCATAAAAACTTAAGCATCTATAAGGAATGATGAAACAAATTTACTCATATTTGACCCATTATATTTTTTTTAGTTAAATTCATATAATTGGATTTGCCATATATAAATTATGATTAAAATATCCTTATATTATTGTTTTAGATTATTATGCTTTATTATAACTTATACAATTATTTGTAATATATAGAGGTTAAATAAATCAATGTATATATTTTTTAATTTATTGTTTTTAGAATTATTTTGAAAATCCTAGTTCTCAATTTACAGTGCTATATATCACTTTATAATCTAAAATAAAAAACTGTTCCCCGGTTTGTCTTATGTACTATCCACCATCCTAGAACAACTGCTTTGTACAAAATTTAACTGGACTACCGGGTCATGCCCATTATGTTTTTTCTAGGCTATAAGATTTTTTAATTAAATAGTAATACCTATACCTAATTGATATTTTCAATTTAAAACTTGATAGTTGATTTGTTAAATATTTCCCAGAGTATATAAATCTTATATTCTATAGACCAGTGCTTTTCAATGTTCTTAAATGTTATTAAATATGACACACCGTGCTCTTTTTTTTTTTTTTTTTTTTTGGACTAAATAATTAGATAAACAAAATTGTTTTGAATTATAATTATATACATTAAATTAGAATAGTGTGCTTGATGGGCTAACAAATCAGGGACTGGAATCTATAGAGATTTTCGGTTCCGGTTATTAAATTAATTTGTTTAAGGGTTCCGGTTCTATTTCGGTTTTCTAAAAAAATATAAGTGTTCTAGAACCGGTTAATACCGGTTTTAAAAAATACCTGTTATTTTCGGTTAATTTTGATTTCTAATTATTAAAGATTTATTAAAAAAAAGTCTGAAATAATTTATTTATTCATGGTTAAATTGTAATTATTTCATGAAAATAGAAGGTATTATGAAAAGTTAAAAAAATAATTACAAAGATATATAATAATATACAGTCGATTCCGCTTAATAGAGACACCGGTTAATAAGGACAACCGCTTAATAGGGACAATTCTCCAATTACAAAAATAAATGTATACTTGTAGGGTAAACATTCACCGCTTATTTGGGCCACGAATCCGGATAATTGGGACATTTTTATCGAGTATATTAATAGATCAATAGTTCAACAATCGTCACGGACTCTCGTAATCGATTATTATATTACATTTTATCTTATTTGACTTTATTTTATCTTATCTTTTATCGTATGTTCAAATGTGATAGTTGTTAAATGTTATTTGGTGCAATGGTGCATCAGTTGTGTATGTCGCGTGTAGCAACAATGGCTCGTGTACGTAAAGATTTATCGTTTGCTCAAAAATTAGAAATTCTGGACAAAATTAAATTACAGCTACCAGGCTGTAATACACGTCGTCTTTCGGAAATTTTAGGAGTATCGAAATCAACAGTTTTTTTTTAAATAAGATAAAATACATAATAAAAAAATAAAAAATATTTATATGTACTTTATATGTAAGTATTTTTATAAATAATTAGGTTATATCATGTTTTTCTTCTTGTACTATCAAATAATTTCTATAATACATTGTTTGTAATTTGTAATAATAAAAATATATAAAACAAAGCAGTTTTTCAACAAATTTATATGTGGGTTTTTGTATTTCGGATTATTGGGACAACCGCTTTATTGGGACAAAATAACAGCCAACCGATGTGTCCCAATAAAGCGGAATCGACTGTATATATAAATATCAGTCTATACGAAATCCATAGGAATATAAGATAATATTGTAAATATTTCTTTGGGTTAGGTTAAGCTATTTCATTCCATCACATAAGTTTGTAAAATATTATGTAATATTTCATATTTGTAGTATTATAAAATATTATGATTTGATGAAAATATTTTTAATTTAATTTAAGTAGATTAGTCCAAACAACTAGTCAATCCTAACCTAAATAACCTTTTTATAATTATTAAGGTTACGGTAACGGTTTTGCATTTTTGGAAATAAAGGTTCCGGTCCTAAATGTTTAAGGTTAACCGGTTCCAGAACCGGTTCTTTTCGGTTTCGGTTCTGGTCCCTGTAACAAATTTTTATAATTTTATTCTCAGACGAATAGTTGACATTTTTCAGAAGACCAGTTTGAAAACCACTGCTAGAGACACTAGCCAGTGGCATAGTAATTGGTTTTTTACCTGATACAATTGCGCCAGTCATAGAAATGCATTAGGATGTTAGTTATACAATATTACATTATATAATAATATATACTATTTTTTTTAATATGAGAAAACATATATTATAATGTCCTAACATTTAAGTTTAATAATAAGTCAATTCACTCTATTATTTAGATTGACAACATAAAATTGGAACTGCTGGATTTACATACGGCCTATACAAGAACAACATCCTCTGATCGAGATTTTAATATAAATTATTGTATTTCAACTATTAATAATATGTAACAGAAACTTAAAATACCCTTGAAAATAGGGATTTTCATAATCAATCCTTCCTTTTAAGGGTTAAATTAAAACTTAAAACGCAATAAAAATAGATCTTTTATTCCTTATCTAAGTTGTATGTTTAGACTTTCTGACCTTTGGGCCTTGCGGACGTTACTATGAATAAATAAAAAATTATGCTATGAACACATTTATTATATTTTTAAAAATGAAAACAAAAATAATTTCATCAAGAAAGTAGTTTCAATTGATGACAGACATAAATAGGTATTTCAATTAATATTATACAATATTTACATATAAATATTAAATGTTTAATAACAAGATACATTTATCCTTTTTTTGAAAACTGAATAGTATAGACTATATGCATAAATATTGTTTTATTGCATATAATAACTCAAAATAATATTTTTAAATTAGGTGTGGGAAAAAATGTAATAATAATAATAATAGTGCATTATACGTATATTCCAACCCATAGTAATAAGAAAAGAAGGCCAAAGCCAGTAAATAAGGCAGCAACAAAAGATATGGTCAGTTCTTTTTTCAAATTTCTGGTATACTTTGTACCAGTAACTTCATAGACGAAAAACCATGCCGTGAAGAACACACCAATGCTGAGCAATAACAAAGTGAGGTGTGGATAAACTGCTGGGCTAACTGGAGACACATACCGCTTGTACAGTGTCATTGTGCTAAACAAAAATAATAAATTTCAATTTAATTTCAGGGTACACAAAACATAATACTAATAATAACCTACAGCAACACATATTCTAAGATATAGTATTGTTATGATAAATGTTTTAAAAATATATAAATTTCAGGTTCAGATCTTATCAACCTAGTAAAAGTTAATCATTTCATATTTTCATAATAATTGTAAACACTGATTTAGAATACCTATTTATTGTTACTGAGTCAGGCTAAATTAATTTTCATTATCGTATTTGTGATGTGTCTTTAAATAGGTTCTAGAATCACATGTTTATTTTTTGAATGTGCTTCTTCTTGAAAAAATGTAGGTATTAATTTTTTTTATATAAACAAAGGAAAGAAAACAAAGAAAAAGTGAATAAAAATAAACAAGATTTTATTAAAAATATACAATTATTCTAAGACATTTATGAAAGTAAACAATCATAGTATAAAATGAAATTTCCTAAACATATTAATTAAAATTAGGTACATAAAAATAATGAATTTTCTATAGGTAATGCTTAGTTATAAACGTAAAAAATAGTGAAAATATTTGCTACAAATGTTGAAAGATAGTGAAAAGAAAAAACCTATACATTTTGATTTAAGAAAAATATCATTGTATTAATAGAGATTTATCATTTAATACATCCACCAAAAGCTGTTTGTCGTGTAGTACATCATCAACTTCATTTTTATCCCAAAGTAACAATACTTTAGATAATCTATTTATATTCTGTCCTAGGATCTTGATTACACCTCTCGTTTCTAATAATGAACACATGGTTATGAATTCGCTTAGATCCCTTACTTGAACGTTGCGTTTTTTACAAATAGTTGTAAATACGTTGAATACTTTTCCTATGGTAATTACTTGACTTTTTTTACCAGAAGATAATAATAATAACAGTGCGCACACTACAAATTCTTGCTGTAAGGGTAATTTTTCGGAATTTTCATCATCATTATCAAGTGCACCAGAAGTGGAATACACATTATTCAACACAGCTATTACATCATTTAATTCAATTTTTTTGTCAATTTTATCATCTGCCAACTCAATAACTCTTCTGGTAACATCCAATGCATAACGTATATCACCTCGGATGGAAGCAATTTTTGCAGATAAAAGTTGAATGGCATTGGCGGGAAATATTTCCGCAACCCCGGCGTTTTTTAATCTATGAGATATAATATTAGCCAACTCTGTTTTCGTATAAGGTGGAAAATTTAGAAGTTCTGGTTGTAAAGAAACCTTAGTCTTTAACATTGGCAACAATCGATCAGTAAGATCTAAAGAGTTTGCTATACCTATGACAACTATATTTGATTGAGGAATGATAGGCCACTCAAATATTTGATACAATATAGATTGATTTTTGGATGACAATTGATCGATTTCATCGAGTACCATGAGAATAGATTTGTGTTTAGTTTTCAAGTACTGCTCTATGTTCGAAATGCATTCCCTTTGTGTGCCGGATCCGATTTTTAACATCTCAGCAATTTTGGCATATACACGGTTAGCAGATTTGATCATACTACAATTCACATACACTAGGGTGAAGTTGTCAGTGACCAAATCGCTGGCAAACAATGAATGAAGTGACACCGTCTTACCAGTACCCGGCGGTCCGGATATGTACATGGAAACCGAGTGGTGGTCTTTGATGTGTTTTTTCAGGAACGATTTTAAACAATCTATATGCTTCTCTCTCCCCGGCAGCGAATCCGTGTAACCGCTGTGCAGATTCAACAGCGCCGTGCCGAAACTGGATTTCGTCTGACTGTCGGTCATTTCAAGGAATCGAGGGGACGATTAAAAATTATTTGATTTCGTCCGTCAAATCGAGAGAGCTAAGAACAAACTGGTAACAATGAGTGGAAAAGGTAAGAGCCAAGACAAAAAGAAACGCCGGTCACGAGAACAAAATGCAAAAACTGTAAATGATAATAAAGTATAAATAAAGAAAATAACCGATTTACCTCGTCGAGTCCGTCACAGTCGTCGGCGATAGGCGAATTCTGTTACGTTTTTAATTTCTTCAGGAGGGTGAATCGCCTCAGTTGTCGTTAGTCGGCTTTTCACGGCGGTAATCCCCCTGCAGTTATATATAAAAAATTAAAATAACAATTTATTGCGCGTGTACGACTACTGTGAATACGTATCAGCAAACTGAAGTTGTCAACGAAACCCATCGCTGGCCGTGCGTCGTTGTACATATATGAACGTAGTACCAGGTTTCCGTTTTTTTTTTCTAGTAAACAAAATAAACCGAATCAAAATCGCGTACACGCGTCGATCTGGCCGACTCGGTGTCTCTGTCATATAGATATCTAAATTCTAAAGCCGAGGTGGTTTGGTCATTATAGTCGAGCTATAATAGCTATTGCTATTGACACTTGACTATAATAATAATAATAGCATGTCGATATAAATATTAATAATCGATTAATAATTAATGAATAATAAGTAATGACATATAAGAGAGATAAAATTTCAATAATATTTGATTTTTTGACATTAGAATTTCGTCAATATTTCATATTTTCATCTGTTCTGTGTAGTAATAGATATTATTACAATTTAATATTTATAGTCTATGCCCTATAAGTATATTTACTACAGCCAACAATAACATAACAATAATAATACAATTATTATTATACGAGTATGGTCATAGAATGGCGTTGTTGTTGTGGTGTAAAGAGTCGGGGAAAAAAAATATGTAAATAGTGCGGTAGTGCGGTACGGGTTCATGTTCATATCGCGTTCGAGTGTTGATTGTGTGTAAGTGTGTGTTTTGGGTCCCGTGATATCACTATATCACGCCGACGGACGACGACCCTAATATCCTATGCGTCTGCGTTGTTGAATTTTTAGGACGGTTTATTTTTTTTTTGCGTGATCGTTCAGTCGTTGTCACTCCGTCTTCTCACGTACGACTGCCTACCATGGCCTACATAACAAAATGCTGCTGACATCTGAGATTCGTCGACGTCTCACACGGCACGACACCGCGGCTTAAGATGTACGTACACAATCTCAATTTTGGTGACAAATGATTTTTTTCTTTCGTGACTTGACCGTGTTGACATATTTTTTTTTGCGCCTAGCAGAAGACTCAAAGATACACCACAGTCGTGACAGACAGTGCGCGACGGCCATGAGAAACATTTGTCGGTGTGATGAATGAGGACGAGATAGCCGATAAAGTATACGAGGAGAGAGAAAGAATTGTCGATCTGTACAGAAATGGACCCGGAGACGGAACGATCATAGATCCTGTTGACGATCCCACTATAAATGACTATTTCAAGCTTGACAGATTCGGATTCATAGTAGGGTATGTACATACTACTTTTATAATATTACTGTAAGTAATTAGCTCTGGTTCTAATTTATTTACAATTTATTTCCCAGCGATGAGTCAAAGTTTAAAAAGGAAGATCCTCAAGAGATAAAAATTGAAGTAAACAGAGAACAAAAATGGCTAAAAATGATCTCCAACTGGGACAGTCTATCCCGAGACAAACTGAAAAGACGTGTTTACAAAGGCATTCCAAATTCATTACGAGGTAAAGTGTGGGCCAAGCTATTGGGTGTTGATCAACTCACAGATGACCAGAAAAATAAATACAAAGTAACTATATATTTTTCAGCATAAATATATTTAGTATATAATATTTATAAATAGTTATTATTGTTATCAATAATCTACATTGCATTTTACAAAATTAATTAGGTGGATTAAAGTATCACTTATTTTCAATATAATAATATTTAAATTTAAAATTATCTAATCTGTAATAAATATTGTATTAATATTATCATTATTTGTTTTACATAGCATATGTGTGAGCTGGCATGGGAACATTCACCAGATGTGAGGCAAATTGATTTAGATGTGAATCGAACATATCGAGAACATATCAACTTTCGAAAACGATACAATTTCAAGCAACAAGAATTATTTAACATACTATCTGCATATAGTATCTATAATTTGGATATTGGCTATACCCAGGGAATGTCACAAATTGCGGCATTACTGTTGATGTATTTAAGTGAAGATGAAGCTTTCTGGGCATTGTCTACTCTTATTTCCAATAGCAAGTATTATATGCATGGTAAGTTTAGTATATTAATAAACATTAGACTTTCCATAAGTTAAAATCTGTAATAAATTTGATTTATTTCTTTACAAAACAAAACAAACACAAAACATTTTTTTTTTCATTTACCTTAAAATTATAGTTATTGATGGTTTATTGTTAGTGTGAATGTGGAAATAATTTAGATCAATGTTTCTCAAACTGATATGCGTACCACTGGTGGTACACATAGCTATACAATATGGCGGTGTACGGAAATAATATTTTCACTAATGTTTGTAACAGATCTAATATTATTTTAAGGTTTGTGTAAATAGGTACTAAATATACTGATAAATGTACCTATTCTCTATCCAGTAAGAGGACACACTGATTCTCTGCGCATCCCGACTCGACAACCTGCCATTGAGACCCGCTTCCACTACGGCAGTATCACGTTGGGGTGCGTGGATGAACCGATTTTTGTAGGGCCGTGGTGAGTTCTAATGCTGGACAGATTATAAAATATTGTTTGTAATCATTATGTTTCTTAAACATGTATTTAAATGTTGAATAGTTCTATTTTTAGTCATTAGTGGTATGCCAAAACAAAGTTTGAGAAATCCTCTGATTCAGATGATTATATGAATAATTACATTAACACTTGGTTTGAAAATTATTTTTTAGGTTTTTTCATACCTGGTTTTCCTAAGTTAATACGGTTTCAAGATCATCATGATAAAATAATGAATAAGTTATTACCAAAATTAAAAAAACATTTGGATAAAAATGGAGTTGAAACTGGATTATATACTTTAAAATGGTTTTTCCAATGTTTTTTGGACAGAGTATGTGCATTCATTAATTTATCTATTTAAGTAATTTTATAGTTTAATATTGATAGTTATAATTTGTTTGTATTGAATGTTAAGATACCATTCAAATTGACTTTGAGAGTATGGGATACATTTTTACTAGAAGGCGACAAAATATTATCAGCTATGGCCTATTGCTTATTAAAACTACACCGCCACCAGCTATATGCTTTAGGAATGGATGATATACTTAATTTTTTGCAGGTGAGTTACAAAAATTATAACATTTTAATTTTAATTATGATATAAAATACTACATGTTTTAAATTTAGGTCTATGCTATATTATTTTTAGTATACAGTTTTACAACTAATCTTGATTTACTATTTACATATTTTAATGTTGGCATTAATTTTCAATCAATTTAATTAAAATTGTATTTGATTGGTTGATGGTTTATCAACATAAATAAAATAAATATTCATTCTTAAGTTATTTGATAACAGTTACAACAAATTGGTTTTATCATTTATTAATTTTCTTTTATAATGTTTGTATATTATAATTATGTATACAAGGTGTAACAGAATAACCTGGTAAATTAAATAACTTTTGTTCTGATCAAAAATAATAAAAAAAATTTTTATTTAAATTATAGAGGATCGCGCTACAAGTACAGTACAAAATTGTTTATTTTTAATATTTTAAAACTGAAAATGAAAACAATTTTTTAAAATACCCATATTTTTTTGAATTAAATTAATTTGAAATGTTTTTCAATAAAGAAACTATTAAAGAAAATAAAGAAAACTTTTTTCAAAATATTCACTTTGGGAAATTTCAGAGATAACTAAATCTTAAATTATTTATTATCTATATAATTTTCATAATATTATGAATGTAAATTAACTTGTATTATTTTTAATTTGTCCGGTCTTTCTGTTACAATGTGTAACGTGTTTAATATTTTATTTATATACATATTTAATAGGCATTTGTTAATGATTAGGTAAAATTGGAACAAAATTATCAACTTACAGCAGATTATACAATTGAAAAACTTCAAGAATGTCTTGTTGAATTGAAAAAAAATAAACTTGACAATGCTGGTCAGCCATCTCAAAATGAAAAGTTGAAAAGAGAGCTTGGAATATTTAATCCAGATGATATTCCTGTTAGAAAGGTAAAACTTGTTTGTAGTTAATCATTATTTTGCAATAAAATACAAATTTTAATAATGTATGGTAAAATATAAAATAGTAATTTAAGAAAATGTTGTTCCAGCCTCAAATCAATGGAGTGGGAAAAATAAGAAAACCCATTAATGCCGACCAAATTCATAGTTCACCTGAACAGGATTCACAACGCCAAGGTGAGTGGACTAGATTGTGAACACTTGCCTGATGATATAATTAAACCTATGGTGTCTATAGAAACTAGTCTTCCATTTAATGTTAACGCACAAATCATAAAATTATTTGCATTTATTTAGGATAGTAAGAAACAAAAATTCGCTTTCATTTTTATTAGTTATACATTTTATTTAATACAGCATCAACATGTGATAGTTAATAATTTGTAGACATTTTAAAAACATTTTTATGATTATTTTTTTAAATTATACCTTGCGTTTTGTTAAATAACTATAATATATTTTTGTTATTTTTAGTTTAAAATTATTCATTATTATACATTTTATTTAAATAAATATTGTAAACAGATGTGTTGTTAGCTTTGTTAAATGTGTATTAAACTGTTAAAATATAATTCACATGTCTAGTTATCTGAATATGTGTTGGAATTAGTATTGTTCCTTTAAAAAAAATATGGCTGTTCAAAAACAATGTTTTCCAATAGTCTTAATTTGTGTTTATATTATGCATATTAATTAATAGGCCAAAATTGAATGCAATTCGTTTTCATTTGCAAACAAAATTGTTATTTCTATTAATTGTTTATTTTTGAGTGCAACTTTGCAACAAAACTTTCATTATTATTCAGTAGGCTTACTTATTTATTGTAAATTTATGTATAAAATATTTTACCACTATTGCGTTTAATATTTATTTTTTATCTATGTTTTATAAATAAAAAAAGTATTTTTCAATTGTTTGTTTTGTTTTAAATGTAAATAATATTTATCAATACTCTTAACTATCATATTATGTAAAATATTGGGAATTTAATATTTTAATGTTATGATTTAAATTGCTCCAATGCAAACAAAAAGTTAATACATATTGTTTCATTGGAAGATATTATACAACACATTTGTAACATACTCAAATTGTAAGAAAAACTTATTATATTATGATTTTGTAATAGCACTTTTAATTTTTTTAATTAGTAGATATGTTTGGCAGATTTAATCTGTGAAAAAATGTCTTTGTTGCATGTAAAATTTGTATGTAAAAATTGGTTTGTTTATTTTGATAATCCCTCTTCATTATACCTATACAAGGTGAGTAAGACAACATTTAAAAGTATGTTTTACATATCTTACTAATTTTATAAATTATATATGTTCTTAGTGATGAACAAAAGAAAGTCTAACCCCAATTAACAAATAAAAATCAAATTCTACCTACTATTTTAAATTATAATTCAATCTATGTTTAAAATACATTGCAATTAACTATATATAAATGTTTTCAGGCTCAATTATTACAAATGGTAAAAACAGTTTGGACGATGTTAGCTCAATTGTTGGGGACAGTTCTAGACGCTCATTGCTAGACACTAGTGTTACTTCCGCAGCCACGACAACAGTGTCTCCACAAAGTATACAAAATGATGATGCTGGATCGGATGTTACATGTGTGAGCCCTCAGCCTGATGTGCTTCGCATATATGTACCATATGATACTCCAACAAAGAAATCTCCTACTTCTGTTTCAAACAAAATTACAACAATTCAGGTGATGGACGAGATGGCCACTCCTACTGTAGAAACAGATGGTATGTTTAAAGCGGTGTCTACTATAAACTAATCATTTGTTGAATTAGTGACATACTAAATTGGCTGTGATTGAATATATAGTTGTTGGCTACTCTATGACCATAAGCAGTGCTACTTTCCATGTAAATTAGTTATACCTTTTTTGTATTGTTGTATGCAGTACACAATTTGTTCTTGGCGAGATGCTCAGATGTAGCTTAACTCCGGCAGTTGATATAACATGCAATAATTATGTAATTTATATCCCAACAAGTCATTAATTTAAATTACTTAATAATAAAATGGTGCGGATACTATACTAACAGCTTTTAAATCCTATGTTAATCAACCTATGTTGATTTTAATTATTTACAACGTAATATATGAAAAAAGGATACAATTCCTTATATATAACAATACTTCATTACTTCTATACATATTTTATTTTTAATTGAACAAATCTTTAAGTAGTACCTTGTGTCTAATGTTAAATGTCATTGAAGTTTCTTTATTACATTTAATGAAAATAAAATATAATATACTAATGTTCAAGAATACGGTAGCCGTGTTCGATATAATTTATTTATTATGCATAATATTTAAAATTTCAAGTTAAATGAAAATTATAAATAACATTTATTTGACTATTTTGACTATCTATAAATGTTTATATGTTTTAATTTAAAAATAACCAATTTATAAAAATTAATACTATTTATTTATACAATTTTTTTTATTTCTGTGAATTAGATCTCTTACTTACGGTTATATTCATATTATATACTATTATATTTGTACGTGATTTATAATATAATATAATTAATTAATAAACTATTGTAGTTTATGTAGTTATACACATAGTATAACATATTTTTATTTTTATTTTAAAAGTATATAATTGAGAAAATCATACCTCAAATTTATTATAACACATGTCTATTGCCTTCTTTTTAGAATACATTTGTTTAAATACTTGATAAACAAAATTATTAATACATGTTAATAATTAAAGTATGTATTATAACAATGTAATTATCATATGATAATATAATTACAATTTCTTATTAAAAGTATATTCTCTATCTTACTATCAGTATTAAATTAAAAATGATAAGTATCAACGTAATAAGAATGTTAACTAATTTTTTCATGTTTATTAAATGATTTGATAATAATTTTGGTTAATTATAAAATATTAGTTTTCTTGTTTATTTTATATGTTGTTTGTTAGAGAAAAATATTTCTTTTCAGATGCCATAATTATTTAACTAAATGCTCTCTTTCAATTTAAGACTAAATTCATTCCAGACTTTTTGTATTTTGCACAAATAAATAAAATGTATATATTAAATGAGTTAAGATTGTCAGTTGATTATACAAATATTAAATGTATTAAATAGATATAATAATTATATACAACAATTTATTTTATGAAAGAAAAGTGAAGTGTATTTTGACATGGAAATATAATTGTTTTTAACAAACACCTTTAGCTTGTTTTATAAATTAATATATTATATATTTTTAATAATTCTATATGGTAATTACTACTTCTACATTATTATTAAGTTGTATTTTATGTCATTAGATGTTAACTTGGTGTTCAAAAGACATATAGATGTTAAACTTATTACACTTAGATAGAATTGTTAAAACTTGTTTTGTAATTTTAACATTATACATAGATTGTGAATTTTGAATTAAAATCTTGTTATAAATGGGAAAGTTGCAACTTGATGCAGTAAATGGATACGTTAATAATTTATTGATTGTACACAAACTGAATGATTAATTACAATGAAAACATTACATTATTTTCATCGTATAAAAAATATTCGAGACTGTGAACATTAAAAAGCAAGGACAATAGTTTCTTGACCGTTCAATCTGTATAGTTTATTTATTTAAAAAAAAAATGTTTATATACATTATAATTATTAACTTATTTTAATTGATAAACATTGTACTGTAGCTATTTAATATAATTAAAATTGGTCAACGACAATATCATTGTATTTTTATTATAATTATTAATTTTTATGATATAATATAATAATATATACATTATAATATAATATATATATATATTTATGAATTATACCTAAATGTATATTTACAATAAAATTGTTTGTATTATTTTGTGAATATAATTTTATTTAACTGCAAGACTATTACTACTATTATTATTAGTAGATAAAAGAGATTAGATTTACTGGATAATTACGTTAAGTAACAACATCAGTCTCATCTATTATTTATGATAAATTTAATATTATATTGTTTGTCTGTTATCAACATTTGTTAGTGCAATAAAAAATCTGTATTGACATATATGTTGTTGGTTTATATATAAATTATAAATATATATTTAGGACCAAGTGCGCCCGACTTTTGTCAAATCCTTTGCCACATTTGAAATATTTATAAGGTATTGAGAACCGTATATCGTATTGTTCCTATACTTTGCACTTTGCAGTAGGCACCTCAAAATATGCTCTCAAATATAATGTAACATTATCTAACATTTTATCAGAATAAAAATGTATCAACTATATTAATGTCACATGATTCCAATACTGAAAAAATTGCCCCCCCCCTCCCCTTTAACCCCAAAAATAAAGGGTTAATGTGTTGTCATGCAAAAGGTTCTTCAAATAATATGCACAAAAAAACTGTATGCCAAATTTCAGGTAATTTCAATAATTCCACTATACTCTGAATGCTCTTCAAAAATTGTCATCAATTTACTAAACATTCAAACAAGCTTGAGAAAAAACTACTGGATCTATTATAATAATCTAATCCTAATGGGACGCCACCAGCATCATATTATGTGTTATTAGATGTCTTATACCTAACATAGCAAATTTGTTTTCAGTCCTTCAATTTTTTTAGTAACCTTTATTAACAGTGAACTATGCTCACAAGTATTTAAAAGTCATAACCAAATCAAAGCCCAAAGGTTTTGAACTTTAACCGAAAAATTAAATAAAACATGTGGTACACTTTTAAATATGTTTTTATACATGATATTCTTTCTGAAAATCATTAGTGTTATAATATTTTGTAGTTTACCAACTAGAAAACTTTCATCAAACTTGGCACTCATTAATTATATGTCGTGACATTGTGTATAATACTATAATTTAAGACAAGGTCGTATTTATGGAGGTCTGAGGGTGCAGTAACATCCCCTCCACGAAACGTCTGGAAATATTTTTAAAAACCGGGGATGATGTCGCTCACTTCTTCTGCTATATAGAAGGTGTCCGCTGTTGAGAGGATGCTACACAGATATTTGTTGTCTCCGTCTTACGAGCGCATAACTTAGAAAACGTACTCTCAGCAGATCACTTTAAACTCAAGTTAACTTAAAAATTAGAGTGAATCCACCTATTATGAAACTTGATGGTAAGAACATTATCTGCGTTTGTATGTGGGTATTTTTAAGATGATTCAGTTTTTAAGTGAGTTATAAGCATTTTTCGTTTATACTATATAAAAACTATACTAGGGGGAGTTTAGCCTCCCACAAATACCCCTTATTGATTTAGATATAAATCCCCTATGGGTTATTTTAAATAAATTGTTTTGTTAGCCCCCCCCCCAGAATTTTAACCTTAGTTGTGCCTATTTTTAACACCTCTATGCTTTTAATAAATAGAGCCGTAAGTAAAAAGTAAGTTACTTACTAAAAAATTGAACTATCGTAAAAAACCCACATACAAACAAAGATGTACTTACCATCAAGTTTCATAATAGGTCGATTCACTCAAATTTTTAAACTAACCTAGACAAACGCGTTCTGTATGTTACGCAATTGTAAGACGAAGACAACAACTTGTAGCGTCCTCTTAAGACTTAAGTGAACTCGTATCATAGAGAACCATATGCGTGCGAAGGGGGAATGTCGGGTATGCCATAATGGCATTCCCTGCAGAGTTATCATAGCCATATTTTTTTAGTAATTAGTTGTAAATGTTTTGATTATAAATTAGAATCATGAACTATGAATAGATAGTTCATAGTATCTTAGTTCAAGAATTCAAATATTTTGATTATTTTTAGATTCTGAGCGGAGCGATGAATGTATTGGTTTTACAATGATGTATGTTTTTATATTTTTATATTTTAGATTCTGAGCGGAGCGATGAATGTATTGGTTTTACAATGATGTATGTTTTTATATTTTTATTTATATTTTTATATTTTTATATTTTTATATTTTTGTGTCTGTCATCACGTTTTGGGACAGTAAAAGTGCTTCGATTTTCTTCAATAGTACCTTTTCTGATAGGAAAGTGAATCTAGTTGGTACTTTGGGGGGTCAAAAGTAAACATTTTCCAGTAGTTTTCACAAGCGCCGGGAAAAACAACATAAAAATTAAGGAAAAACGGGAATTTTTACGCAAAATCGATTTTCCAAAAAATCGAATTTGGTTATTGGTGTAACTTTAAAACAAATGACCGTAGATACATGAAATTTTCACTGGTTGTTTATATTTGCATTTTCTATACACGATAACATTTTCAAAATATTTTGATTTATTTTGAACTGTTTAGGGACATTTTCATTTTTCATTTTATTTTAGTTTTTTTTCTAGAAATATCAATAAAATTTTATTTGTTGGTTGCGAAAGCTTGAAAATTTAATAGAAGGCTCCTAATATGTTGTTTCAAAGGCAGATGAAAAATATTAAAAATCCTTAGTCACAATTTTTTTTTATAAGCATTTAAAGTTCAAAAATTGACAAAATATGGAAAAATCACGAAAATTAGCAAATTATTTTGAGTTAAGAATTCGTAAAAATTTTTCTTTTTAAATCTAAGATTTGAAAATGAAACACAAGATTCCTTATAAGATTATCTACCTTTATCAATAAAAAAATCTCTACCGGACAGTCAAATTAAATTTTTATGAGCGTTTGAAATTCAAATTTTTACAACATTGGATTTTCACTCGATTTCTCATGTAGCGATTTCCTAATTTTGTTGTAATTCAAAAACGAATAACTGTAGATACATGAAAATTTCACTGAATGTTTATATTAG